AAATGCCAAAAAAACGTAACAGTATAGTAAGGCAAAAAAGTGTCAAAAAATGTCATAGTATAGTAGGGCATAAAAACGTCAAAAAACGCCATGGTATAGTACAGTATAAAAATGTCAAAAAACGTCATAGTATAGTAAGGCATAAAAACGTCAAAAAACGTTATAGTATAGTAAGGCATAAAAATGTCAAAAAACATCATAGTATAGTAAGGCATAAAAACGTCAAAAAACGTTATAGTATAGCAAGGCAAAAAAATGTCAAAAAATGTTATAGTATAGTAAGGCATAAAAACGTCAAAAAATGTCATAGTATAGTAAAGCAAAAAAGTGTCAAAAAATGTTATAGTATAGTAAGGTATAAAATCGTCAAAAAACGTAATAGTATAGTAAGGCAAAAAAGTGTCAAAAAATGTCATACTATAGTAAGGCATAAAAATGTCAAAAAACGTCATAGTATAGTAAGGCAAAAAAGTGTCAAAAAATGTCATAGTATAGTAAGGCATAAAAATGTCAAAAAACGTCATAGTATAGTAAGGCAAAAAAGTGTCAAAAAATGTCATAGTATAGTAAGGCATAAAAATGTCAAAAAACGTCATAGTATAATAAGGCAAAAAAATCTCAAAAAACGTCATAGTATAGTAAGGCATAAAAATGTCAAAAAATGTCATAGTATAGTAAGGCAAAAAAAAAATGTCATAGTATGGTAAGGAAAAAAAAATTCATAGTATAGTAGGGCATAAAAACGTCAAAAAATTTCATAGTATAGTAAGGCATAAAAACGTCATAGTATAGTAAGGCATAAAAATGTCAAAAAATGTCATAGTATAGTAAAGCAAAAAAGTGTCAAAAATATCATAGTATAGTAAGGCAAGAAAGTGTCAAAAAATGTCATAGCATAGTAAGGCATAAAAATGTCAAAAAATGTCATAGTATAGTAAGGCAAAAAAGTGTCAAAAAATGTCATAGTATAGTAAGGCATAAAAATGTCAAAAAAAAGGATAATATAGTAAGGCATAAAAATGTCGAAAAATGTCATAGTATAGTAAGGCAAAAAAGTGTCAAAAAATGTCATAGTATAGTAAGACATAAAAATGTCAAAAAAAAGGATAATATAGTAAGGCATAAAAATGTCGAAAAATGTCATAGTATAGTAAGGCAAAAAAAAATTCATAGTATAGTAAGGCATGAAAACGTCAAATAAAGTCATAGTATAATAAGGCAAAAAAGTGTGGAAAAAATGTCATAATATAGTAAGGCATAAAAATGTCGAAAAATGTCATAGTATAGTAAGGCATAAAAATGTCAAAATACGTCACAGTATAGTAAGGCATAAAAATACCAAAAATGTCATAGTATAGTAGGGAAAAAAAAATTTAATAGTATAAGAGGGCATAAAAACGTCAAAAAACGTCATAGTATAGTAAGGCATAAAAATGTCAAAAAATGTCATAGTATAGTAAGGCAAAAAAATTTTCATAGTTTAGTAGAGCATAAAAACATCAAAGAACAGCATAGTATAGTAAGGCATAAAAATGTCGAAAAACGTCAGAGTATAGAAAGGCATAAAAATGTCGAAGTATAGTAAGGCAAAAAAGTGTCAAAAAATGTTATAGTATAGTAAGGCAAAAAAGTATAATAGTATACTAAAGCATAAAAACGTCAAAACACGTCATAGTATAGTGAGGCAAAAAAAAATGACATAGTATAGTAATTCATAAAAACATCAAAAAAAGTAATAGTATAGTAAGGCATAAAAATGTCAAAAAATTTCATAGTATAGTAAAGCAAAAAGGTGTCAAAAAATGTCATAGTATAGTAAGGCATAAAAACGTCAAAAAACGTCATAGTATAGCAAAGCATAAAAATGTAAAAAAATGTCATGGTATAGTGAGGCATAAAAATGTCATAGTATAGAAAGGCATAAAAATGTCAAAAAACGTCATAGTATAGTAGGGCATAAAAACGTGAAAAAATGTCACAGTATAGTAAGGCAAAAAAATCTCAAAAATCATCACAGTATAGTAAGGCATAAAAATATCAAAAATGTCACAGTATAGTGAGGAAAAAAAAAATTCATAGTATAGTAGGGCATCAAAACATCAAAAAACATCATAGTATAGTAAGGCATAAAAACATCAAAAAATGTCATAGTCCAGTAAGGCAAAAAACAACGTCATAGTATAGTAAGGCAAAAAACTGCCAAAAAATGTTATAGCATAGTAATGCATAAAAATATCAAAAAATGTCATAGTATAGTAAGGCATAAAAACGTCATAGTATAGTAAGGCATAAAAACATCAAAAAATGTCATAGTCCAGTAAGGCAAAAAACAACGTCATAGTATAGTAAGGCAAAAAACTGCCAAAAAATGTTATAGCATAGTAATGCATAAAAATATCAAAAAATGTCATAGTATAGTAAGGCATAAAAACGTCATAGTATAGTAAGGCATAAAAACATCAAAAAATGTCATAGTCCAGTAAGGCAAAAAACAACGTCATAGTATAGTAAGGCAAAAAACTGCCAAAAAATGTTATAGCATAGTAATGCATAAAAATATCAAAAAATGTCATAGTATAGTAAGGCAAAAAACTGCCAAAAAATGTTATAGTATAGTAGGGCATAAAAAAATCAAAAAACGTCAGACTATAGTAAGGCAAAAAAGTGTCAAAAAACGTCAGACTATAGTAAGGCAAAAAAGTGTCAAAAAACGTTATATTATAGTAAGGCATAAAAATGTCAAAAAAATGTCATAGTATAGTAAGGCATAAAAATGCCAAAAAACGTCATAGTATAGTAAAGCATAAAAATGTTATACTACAGTAAGGCATAAAAACGTCAAAAATCAGAGAAAACATGCAAACTCCACAAAGAGAGGCACCAAGACTTGAATTTAAAGCAAGAACATTCAGACTACAAGGGGACTGCTCTAACCACTAAACCACCTCACCACCTCATGAATGGATCAACGTATCATAGTATAGTAAGACATGAAAAATATGTCAAAAAAGTTGGAGATTATGTAAACAACACACAGAAAGGTACCAATACCAGGATTTGAAACCAGTTCCCTCAGACTGCAGGTGTCATCTCTAACCACTACTCCACCTTACCACCTCGTGAATGGATGAATAATTCATAGGATGGTTAGGCATAAAAACATAAAAATACATCATAGTATAGTCAGGCATAGAAATTTTGAAAATCATAATATAGCAAGGCATAAAAATCTCAAAAAACATCATAGTATAGCAAGTCATAAAAACATCAAAAAAAGTCATACTATGACATGAATATATCAAAAAATGTCATAGTATAGAAAGACATAAACGCGTCATAGTATAGCAAGGCATAAAAATGTCAAAAAAGTCACAGTATAGTAAGGCAAAAAAAAGTCACATTATAGTAAGGAAAAAAAAGTCAAAAAAGTCATACAATGACATGAATATATCAAAAAACGTCATAGTATAGAAAGGCATAAAAGCATTATATTACAGTGCTTGTCATTGGACTGCGGGAGGAAGATGGTGTACCTAGAAAATCCCATTGAGAGAACGTGCAAACTCCACCATAAAGGCCCAGGGTTTGAACCCACCACCCTTGTATCGCGGGTCTACAATTCAAACCATTGTACCACAGTAAGACTTAAAAAAAATCAAAGTATAATAAGGCATAAAAACGTCATAAAACGTCATAGTATAGTAAGGCATAAAAAGGTAAAAAATGATAAATTATGGTAAGGCATAAAAACATCAAAAAATGTTGTAGTTTAGTAAAGCATAAAACGTTATAATTAGGCATAAAAACATCAGAAAACGTTATAGTATGGTAAGGCATAAAACTTTATAGTACAATAAGATATAAAAAGGTCAAAAAAACGTCTTAGTATAGAAAGGTTAAAACATTACAGTATAGTAATAAATAAAAATGTCAAAAAATGTCACAGTGTAGTAAGGTATATAAAGTCATAGTAAATTAGGCAAAAATAAGTTATAGTACAGAGGGCAAAAAAGTCATATTATAGTAAGGCATAAAAGGGTCATAGTATAGCAATGCATAAGAAAGTCAGCAGTATAGTAAGGCATTAGAGTCGCCAATTAATTTAATGTGCATATCTTTGGATTGTGGGAGGAAGCTGGAGCATCTGGAGAGAACCCATGCAGGCATAGGAAGAACATACAAACTCTACACAGAATGACTGTAAAGTGAATGGTTCAATAAAAGGAAATTTAAATTCAAATATGAACTGATTATTTTCATTTTCTTGACTTTTTATTTTTTTTATTATTATTTGATTTTTCTCTTTTATTGTAGGCCTAGGTATTTGATATGTATGCATTGTATCATGTCTTGCTGTTTATTTGACTCTGCCAAATAAAGTTACTTAAAAAAGTGTTTTATGAAGACATTTTCAACGTCAAAAATTGTTGCGTAAACATAACAATGGTTGTAAATTCAACTGCTTAACTTACAAAAGTATGAACTGTGGCTCTACATACCTTGCATTACCCATTGTAATGTTAAAGCTTGATTTTTAAAAAAAAATGTAGTCATGCATGGGTAGATGTGGAAGTCCATTTACTGGCAGCAGTAAACACAAACCACAGCATAGTTGTGGATGGAGTTTTTTTCTGTAGGTGTGTGGTATTTTGAGTTTTTATGTGGTCATTTGAGTCTCTTTGTGGTCATTTTGTGGCTGTTGTTCCGAGTGTCAGTAATTGTTTTGAGTCTCTGGGATTTTTTGAGTGTCTTTGTAGTTGCTTTGAATCCCTGAGGTTGCTTTTGTCTGTTTCTGTTGTGGTTATTTTGAGGCCCCCTGTTGTATTTTTGAGTCTCTTTGTGGTTGTTTTGAGTCATTTTGCTGACTTTCCCTAAGTGTCCCTTCATAATAAAGGCTTCGGCCTGTGGATATAACTGGCCCTAGTATAGGACCACTAGAGGACGCACTGGGGCCATAATGTCTAGCAGGCTTTTGGAGAGCGAGGGGGGACGCCATCTTCCTTCCCGTCAGTCCTAGTTGCTACCTTAGCTGAGGTTAACTGTTGTTGAACGGGATTACCAGGCGCTGAGCTGACATTACAGAAACCATGGGAAGAAAGAAGAAAAAGCAAATGAAACCTTGGTGTTGGTATCCTTTTCCATATGTTACATTTAGTGCAATAGCATTGTCTTGTTCTCATTAAGACCTGTTTTATGCGTTTTACAGCGTTATTCTGTTTACTAAAATAAGGGTGACTGTAAGCTAATCTGAGCCTATAATAACAATGATACGTGTATAGTATACTCGCAATATAGCCAACATGATAGATTTAGAACTGCTGTCGGTTTAGTTGAATTGAAGTTGAATGACCAGCTCAATAACAGGATATTATAAAGCAGGCGACGTTGGTCCGTGAAATCTTGTGTCTCATTAGCAAGGTGTTTTTGAGTAAACAAGTGCACATCACGTTCAGCTGTAAAAAATATCATTACAATGCTAATGCACAACTGCTGTCATGTTGTATATGTGATATTTTATTTTTTGTGCTGTATTATAATATGTCTGAAAGTTTGTATAGCTGCTATCTTGGCCAGGTCTCTTTCTCTCTCTCTCTCTCTCTCTCTCTCTCTCTCTTTTTTTTTTAATCTCAGTGGGAATACCTGGCAAAATAAAGGAAATAAATAATGATCAGGTTTATCAGGGATTAAAACAGTTTCCTAAACCGTAATCCCAGGTACTGTAACAGAGATTTTGATGATGAAAAGATTCTCATTCAGCATCAGAAGGCCAAACATTTCAAGTGTCACATCTGTCATAAAAAGCTGTACACCGGCCCTGGGCTCGCAATCCACTGTATGCAGGTGAGGAAACCAAAATAATGCAAACCATCTTCATAAAATCAAACATAATTATTTCTTTAAAATTACCTCACTGTTTCACTTGCTTTGTAGGTACATAAAGAAACGATCGATGGAGTTCCTAATGCAATACCTGGAAGGACAGATATTGAACTGGAGATATATGGCATGGAGGGTATTCCGGAGAAAGACATGGAGGAGAGAAGAAGAGTGCTAGAACAAAAGAACCAAGGTATTAGCACTGAAATACCTTAATGCACTGTCTTGATTTGGTGTGTTCTAGAGACTGACTATACTACTCCCTGTTTTCAGAGACTCAGAAGAAAAAGCAGAACCAGGATGACTCTGATGAGTATGATGAGGATGATGAGCCTGGACCCTCCTTCCAGCAGCCTGCTGCAGGCCAGCCCCAGGCAGGATACATCCCCCCGATCACACAGCCTGGCATGCCTCCTGGCTCTGGTGCTCCAGGGATACCACCAGGCAGCTACTCAGGTGCAAAACAGTGACGCAACTTGAACTACAAAAATCCAGCTATTGAGCTAATCTTAAATAACACTGTACTGGTGTCGTGCTGTTTACCAGTTATTCCATTCATATTCATGAACAGTATGTAATCTAAAACACCATCTTTATGTTGCAGACATGGTTTTACCCCGGTTCTAGATCTTCTTGCCATATTTCCCAGCTGCTGCCCCGAATGCTGTTCTTTTTACAGCTATACATGAGACACTAGATGTTGTCAAGCGTATTGATTGCAATATGTATTGAAGTATGTGTCCTAAAAGGCGATGGTAATCATACTTTGATTAAGGTGTAAACAAGTTCAATGCATTTTAATGCTGCAATTAAATTAGGAACACTCAATTTTATAATATACTGTGGCTGTGCTCGCGTATTGTATTTTGCCTGAAATAATAAGGATATTTTTGTTAAACTCCTTAAAAAGAAATAAAAAATGTTCTCCTTGTTTTAGGAATTCCCCCAATGATGCCAGGTGTGCCACCACTAATGCCAGGAATGCCACCTGTAATGCCAGGAATGCCTCCAGGGTAAATGTTTGTCATTGATCAAGACTGTCTTTTTTTTTTTAAATTTTTTATTAATCCCATCCCCACTTTATTGTGTATTTTACACACAGTTTTTTCTCATGTATGTAGGATGATACCAATGGCTGGGATGATGCCTCCAGGTCCAGGGATGCCTCCAATGATGCCAGGCGTGCCCCCAGGTAACCAGTGCCCTGCTATCTCACACCCTCAGAAGGCACTTATCAGTCCATGTTATTTCCTCAATGTCAGTTTTTTTTAATTAAAGTTTGTAAATATGTTGTAACATTGCTGTGATGAGACTTTACGTTTCACTTTATATAATGAATTTGTTCTGCCGGTGTCAGGTATGCCTCCTCCAGTGGGCCACCGCCCAGGTATCACACACATGGCTCAGGTCCCCCCTGCTGCAAACATGCTGACCAGACCTGCCATTCCTGCTGCCACTGCCCCCTCAGCACAACCTGATGTCAACAAACCTCTGTTCCCTAGCGCTGGACAGGTAGAAAGTTTATGACACCATTTACCCCTGCACAGTCTCCCACAACACTTTGATCGAGCAGAAAACGATATTCTCCTGTTGAATATGGGATGTTTGAGTGGCTGTCTGTGCTCACACAGGTTGATGTAAAGGAGACTTTACCCAGAAATTCATTTAAATTGATTTTTTTATTTACATTTCCTATTCTTTACTTTTTTCCTGTGCTACAGATGGGCAGTCGGGTTGCAAGTACAAGTGCAGGGTCGTCAAGTGCAGACTCAGAGTCCGCCTCCCCTAAAGCTCTGTTCCCTATCACATCACAAGTACGCAGCTGTCTGCCTGCTCTACACCCTGCAGCTTTACAATTGGCATGCACACAGTTGTGTATAATTTGCCTGTGGTGTACTTGGACAGATTAATTCTGTTTTATTTGCCAAAGCTGTCTTAGCAAGGGATGATAAAGTCTATCTAACTATTTATGTGGGTAGAAAATCCTTTTTCAAGTATTTTTTTGTAATTCTAGCAACATGCATTTATTTGCTTCTTCTTTTGCTACAAATCTGCATTTATAAAATACTATTTAAAAATTAGCTTTGTTAACTCGACAAAATCAAAAACTAGCGAGTAATGCAGATTTGTAAAATGGGCTTCCTGTTTCTGAACTGCTGCAGAGCAATGTAGCACAGCATGCTCTTTTGGATTTGTTTTCTTGCAGGCTTGAAGAAATAGGTTTTACTTTGGTCATACAAGTTCCTCTCCTGAAATAAGCTGATCGACCAACAAAAACTGTTAGTGCACAGTGGAAATACAAATTAGTGCTGCATGGCACAAGTTAAGCCATCAGAAAAAGATATAGTTGCAGGTTAAATAACCCAAATCATCCCTATTTCTCTATTTCTTCATAAAAAAAGAAAGACATATTGCTGTTTAATTTTTAAAATGTACTTCTTAAGTTCTTTGAGCCCAACAAATGAAGAGATTTACTGAATAGTATTGTAAACTCTCAGCACATAAAAGCAAAACTTCTGCTTGGCTATCACTAAGGATAAAGTGAGATTTAGGAGATTTCTTATTTGGGTGAACTGACCCCATAAAGAAAGTGAAAGAGGAGATGCAAGAATCAAGGGGAAGAGGAATCCAGAGACTGTCAAGGCAAATCCATCTTAATCCTGTGTACAAATAATGTGAATGCCAAGCCTAAAATATCAACTTCAATCATGGGAGTGACCTCAAAGTATGACTAAAAGTGATCCCCATGTGAAATTTAAATGCTGTTCACTAGAGTGTGATGTGTTTTCGTTTCTCCTCCCTCAGAGTCAGCAAACTGTGTCAGGGTCCCCCCACCCTCCCCCTTCTACCTCCTCTGACCTCTCAAAGCCCACATTCCCGGCCTACACTCAGGCCACCGCAGCTGTAGCCAGCCCCAATGGTGGCAGCAGTACGGTCTCCAGACCTCCCTCTACTGTGACCAGTAAGCCTGCCACCCTCACCACCTCCAGTGCAACCAGTAAGTTGATCCACCCAGATGAGGATATCTCACTGGTAAGTAGCTTAGCTGGACTGTCTCTCTCTCTTTGTACCTTTTACAGTAAGTAGTTACACAATTTGAAGTCTGTTAATTATAGCAAGAGTCAATATCATAATGTCAAAAATAGAATTTTCTGAAATGAAAATGATCGATTAATCTCACTTTATTTATTACTCCAGGTTGAACTCCAGAATTTCAGTGTCAAATTATTCCTCCTTGTTTCTGCTTTCTGTGTCCTGTAGGAAGAGTTACGGGCTCAGTTGCCCAGGTATCAGCGCAGTATTCCCCGCCAAGGCCAGGCCACCGCTGCTGCCCCGTCAGTGGGCCCTGTAGGTGGCATGATGGCTCCTCAGCCTGGCATGAGGCATCCCATACCAGGTATATACACCTCTGCCTCTACTTCAGAAATAAATGTTACATTTTAGGCATATAGTTGGTTTGTTAGGAACACAACTGTTTCTTCTGTTGTCAAACTCTGCTATAGGATGAGAATTTCTCCTAAGTGTTTGACATGAACGCTGCCTCATACAGCCCCTAGTTTGACTCTTAGTCTTGTTATAAAGTAAAAGCCATACATGTATTGCTACTAATTTTTGATTAAAAAGCCAACAAACCTATGTTCTCGCAGGCCAGTATGGTAGTCCACCACAAGGGATGCCAAGCTACATACCAGGAGGGATGCCTCCATATGGACAGGCCCCTCATGTGGTTCCCCCGGGGTACCAGGGAGCTCCTCCACGGCCGTCCATGGGTATGCGACCCCCTGTCATGTCTCCTGGAGGCCGCTACTGAAGCCCGCCTTCCTCTCCTCTATAGGTTTGGACACTCAACCCTTTTCTAATGTCCTCAGCTGCTAGTAGACAAACCAGTATTGGTATTGTAGTACCACGATGCACTGTTTATTCTACTACTGAGCTATGAGGAAGAGACACTGAATAAACCGTAAACAAAAGAGCTATAGAAGCATCACAGAGCGCATGGGAAATATTTACACTGTACCTAACCAAGACTATCAACTGTTGTTTCAAACTATCTCTGTCCTGTGGCTTTTTTTCCTTCTCATGTTTCATTTAGGTGTATAGAAGTGTAATAGATATGGTTCGTAGTGTTGTGAAGGCGCTGGAGTTACATGGGCAGTACCCACCCTTTATCAAGGCAAGTTATGTAAACACATTTCTGTTCTAAGCAAAACAGTGAGGCCTTCACAGCACGTAGTGCTGTTGGACTTTGTGTCCCCAACTTTGTTTGGTGAGGGCTTCAAGTAACTGTTGTGCATTCATTCTGTTTTGTGTTAATAATTTAATGAGGAAATACCCCTTTAACCTTAAATAGATGAAATGGTATATGTATTGTTGTAAAACTGTACTGTAATAAAATGTGGCAAAAATTGAAGACTCTTCTTTGCGGGACATTAGTGGGAAAAGAGACGTCATAGCAGGTTTGTACTATAGTAATAAACTACATGGTGACTGTTTTTATTGTCTTGAAGATGAACATTGAAGAACCAATAACAGAAATGCTTCATTGAGTTGAAATTAAAATGTTGTTAAATGTTTTCTTGTGACTATAAGCAGTATGTTGAATTTCTTTCATTGATGCTCTGTACATGGCACTGGCAGACTTGCCTTTGACACACTGAGTGCACTGTACAGCTGCATAACTTCCGGGTTGCTAGTGGCTGCAGTGCTAAAACCCAGATTTCTCTTCTCCCTGTAGCAATGCCATGGGGGACTGGCTGAGGCCCTGTCTCAGTGTAGCCCTGTTTCAGCCTGAGGCAAGTCTCACCATTTTCTGTCTTCTCATTCATTACCAGGGGCCCTCACAGCTTACACGCTGTTGGATCTTTATGTCCCCAAACTTGCAGCAAGTTTGGTGAAGGCCCTTGTTTGTATTCTTGCGTCTAGGTAACATTTCCTTCAGGCATGTTATCTCATGTGGATTATATTCTTTCTTGTTAAGCTTTTATGTACCATTGAACCTGTATCTTCCATTATTTACTGGTGAGAGCATCAGGAAGCTCTGATTTCATTTAGTAGCTCTTCACTGAAAGTATAGAGCTTTTAAATGAAACTCAGTTCCTTTAGAAGCTTTTGATATTAACTAGTCTTACGGTCCACTGCAGTTTACTGTCTCAGATATTGATGACTTGGTCAAAAGTCAAATTGTTTGTTAGATTGCCACATACATTTGCAGGCTGTCACCTGCAGCCATATATACATCAAATGTGTGTTGGGAGATTTGTGATGAGAAAATGACTTTTCATATGCTTGTAAAATGGCTTTACCACTTAATCCCGTTTGTTTCATCAGCTTTCCTCACTTGATCATTTGAATTTAACTACTTACATGAAGGAGAATCTCTGGCATTAACAGGTTAGTTAAAGCTGTAAGTACCACTGCTATACTTTTAATTTCCGCCGGCCTGTGTTTTGTGTGCAAACATAATGAGATTTTAATTTTCACTTGAAAAAAAACAAAATAAGCCATCAACAATTATGCCAATCATTTATTATGATCTCCACAAATTATAAAATCATAATTATCAAATCATAGTTACTACTTGAGTGTGCAACACATTTTTTCAGCTTCTTCTACCAAATATGAGCAGCATCTCAACATAATTTCTGGTGCAAATAATATTAAAACAATTGATTTTGATATTTTACATGAGTCATACAGGCAGAGTCTTCATTGGTAAGTATGCACTCATGGTTTCTTATGTATCACAGAAAAAAGTCTAACAAGCTTTTACCTGTTGAAGAATACAGTTTTATGAAAAGATGTCACAAATTTTCTTTCTTTTTATTTTTTTGTTTTATAATGCATCTATGAATATGATAGTGGACTGGCTAGGAAGCTGTGGAAGTTAAGTAGAAACCTGAAATTTAATCATAAAGATTTGTTTTGGGATCTTCCCGCGAAGCGCTCTACATGGTTTTATGATGATTTCTGTGCCAGAGTCTGAATGTTTACTTTTTTTCCTTGAATAAACCAATCCCTAAACTCTAACGTGTCTTTGTGATGATTCCCCTCCACATTGTTATTGTTTCATGTATTTGAAAAAAAAAGTTATAATGTAAAATATATGGAATTATGAGTCTGTCAAATTTAGAAACATTTAATACAAAGTTATAGAGGGAAAGTCCAGTGACCATATTAGTAGTCCACTAGCAAAGCAAAGTAAAACTTCTTGCTGTCTGAAATAGTTTAAATCAGGACTCAAGTTTCACATTTTTGCAGAACTGCATTTCCTCAAGCTATCCTCGAACACAAATCTGGTACAAAACTGTCATCTCACTTTTGTATTGGAACAATTCTCTCCACTTAGAATATTTTAAAATATTTTACAGTATACAATATACAGTGTAAATACACAGATTTAATGAGATAATTATTTATATGTTTCAGATCAGATGTGTCACTCAATGTTTTGTTTTTGGTATTTGAGTGAATAATGTGTTTCTTAGTTTAACTGATCAGTTCAATACTGCTCAAGACTCAAGTCTCAAGCCCTGACTGTGTGTATCCCTGTTTCATTCCCCATTGTCTTTCCTCTCATTACGAGGGGCCCCCACAGTTTACACACTATTGTGTTCTTGTCTTCTACGTGTAATTATAAAATGAATAGAAACAAAATTAATTGAGGCAAAGAGCTATGATCAAATATTTGTTAATAAACAACATAATACAAAATGCTTCATGCATATAAAAATATTGTTTGCATCAAGATTAATGTGACAGATGTTTTGCAAAACAACTGAATTGCCTGTATTGAAAAATCTTACATTTGAAATTTCATCACAACTTTGTCTGCTTTTTATCATACACAAACATGTTGCAGACTGATTTCTGTTACAATTAATGTTGTAATCAAAACAAACGCAAGTATTACACTGAAAACATAATTAATTAAAATTATATTATTTCAAATTTAAATACTTTGTAAAAAACAAAAAAGATTTCAAGGCTTGACTCTTAATCTTTTGTTATCATAATCTGCCAAGAACATGTCTTACATTCACCATCATTTTAATACCAATTCATCCACGTTTTTGAGAAATATATCCTTGCATATATATACAGTAGCAGTGCTAATGATGTGGATATTAAAAAGCTGTTTGATAGTCCATGAAAAAAATCTTTGAAGGCAGTTTGTAAGCCAATACCAGTTGAGCAACAGAATTAAAGAATCTAGCCACGTTCAGTTTAGCCAGTCAGAAAAATAGATTTGTTCTGAATATTCACTTAAAACCTTACCTATATTCCAAAATGGAAAGTGTGATTCAAAATCTTGTTTGTCATGCAAATGAAGACACTAATTTTACATGTAAATAGTTGTAAATATTCCTACAGAAACATGAAAAGTTCAACCAAAGGCTTTGTGGCTCACAATCTCATCATGTTATGTCTATTGTAGTTTAGCACTGATATTTGCAGTTGTTGAGAGGTGCATTGTGAGCATTGAAAATTAGTCTTTTACTTGGATATCAAAGGCAACCACTCCATCAAATGAAAAGCCCAAGTAGAAGGTGACATTTTCATTTCCATTTGGCAGGGAGGCAGAATATCGAGGAAATACCCTAATCTTGCTGTCTCTCGTTCCACCTTTAACAAATAAATTTCCATTTTCTGTCCATCCTTCAACACGTTCCAGCAGCTGCACAACTTTCCAGGTTTTCCATACTTCCCCACCGAACCATTTCAGTTTTCTTTCACTTAGAGTGCCTTTAACCTGCTTTTCAATAGCACTTCTATGGACAATCTTGTTAAGACCTTTTGCCTTTCCCAGAAAGAAGTGGGTCGCAGTTCTGCTTTTCCTTGGAGACACATGTTGGATTTTTTGCTCACAGAGTCTCTGAAGTGCATCAATAGCTGATAAAAGGATCTGATTACCAGCAGAACTGAGTTCATTGCTTGTCTCAGGCCAAAACAGAAGGGAGAGAAGGAAGAGAGCACTTGCTGATGACATGTTTTTCCCTTTTGTAATGAATCTTTTGCTGAGATCTTGAAGCTTTTGAAGGGACAGGAGCTTTGAGGACCCAGGTAGAATACAGTTAAGAGCTATCTGGCAAAAAATGAAGTTTACAAGTTCCGTCTGGTCAAGGTCGTTCCATTTCAGGTTTTCTGGATACATGCCAATTATTGTCTCAAGTTTTTTTCCTGCTCTCTCTGGGTCACTGTCATAAAGTAAGGAGAGGATGGATGTAAGATTTCCTCCACCAAGCTTGTAAGTCTTCATCTGTCGTTGGAATGGAGAAAGCTTTTCAGCTGGACCTGCCATGTCAGCACTGTTGCTGTCAGTTGCTTGGATTCCGTCATCAATAATACAAAAAAAATCAGCATATATAGCGCTCTTCCTTTTCAGCCATTTTCTTGGATTATATATTTGTTCTGGATCTCTTGCATCAAGTTCTTCGTCCTCTTCGCTTATGTCAGTTTGAAAGTAGCTGAGGTCTTCAGAAATGCACTCAAGTGTGTGGCAAAGGCTCTTTTGTAATCCTTTTAACTGCTGATGAAACCTCTGCCAGGGTGTTTTGACCTCTGCTGGTATGTAGTCTGTTAACAAGTACTGCATCAACTCTGATTTTCCAGTATTGCTTGAAAAAACATCTACTGCTGACAGAAATCTTAGCAGCCTGCAGCCAACATCTACTTCCCCGTAGTATGAGTTGTTAAGGCTGACAGTCTCTTTCTTTGGTGTTTTTTCAGAGGCCCTGAAGGCAGAAATTCCTTTGAGTGCAGTGCTTATGATTTCAATTCCCCTTTCAGGGGATGGTTCTTTTTCCTCACAGGTGTCATACAAGTGGTAAAACCACTTTTTGTAAACTTGTCCCAGTGTGTCAAGGACAAATATATCATGTGGAAGAAGAGATTTTGCTTCCTCTGCCCATTCTAGGGCCTCTTTAAATCTCAAATTTGTGTAAAGCAGCCGGGCAAGCTGTTGGGCCACATATGCATCTTTTCCCAAAGCTAGGTAGGCTGCTTTCATGAGATCAACAGCTTTCTGAACACCACCTCCCGTGGTGCTGACATGCTCAATAAGGGGTGAAAAAGCTGTGTCTTTAGGATCTCCTCTGCTCTTTTTATGGCGTCTGATGAAAAGAGCTGCGATGAACTTCAGGAACTCATCCCTGTCAAACCTGTGATTGATAAGTACCTTGTCGTTGATGAGGTCCATGGCAATATCACTTTGAGGCAATTTTGCAGACAGCTGACTCAGAACTTCTTTTGCCACCAGTGGATGAATAATCCGAATTGATGAGATGTGTGTTGAATCTTCTTTAAGGTGGATGAAAATAAGCTTTGCTTCATCACTGAGATGTTCCACAAATGCATGGTACTGAGCTTTATGTGCTATGGCATGTGCTCGGCGTAGCACATTGGTAGTTATGCCAAGAGATGCCTCACAGTGTGACACAGACATGTATGAGTCTTCAACGTAGCAATTCAGAAGAGCAACAAATCTGATGAGGCGAGTGATGAGTGATGAATGATCAATTTTATCTAGAATGTTTTTCACAAAGTCCTTAATGTAACTTGGCTGGAATCCTTCAGTCATCAGAACAAATGTTAGGATGAAGTCTAAGTCTGGTTGGAACTGCTTAAGTTGCTCAAGCTTCTGTGAGAACTTAGGCTTCTCTGAATTTGATAGCTTATGTGTGACTGCTACTGTTTGAGATGGCAATGCTCTGCACATCCTCTCTGGATCATTTGAC